AGACTGTTCCTTTCCTGGAGGTACTGAAAGCTGGAGAAACCATGTGTGCCTTGTCTGTAATTAGGCCCCGAGCATTTCTTTAGTAGTTCCAGATCTCAGCATGTTTCTGCAATGTGCTTTTCCTAATTTGTGGGTTACTTTAAGTGCCCCTGTCACAGATCACATCTTTACTTGAGGCTCTGACATCAGCTGTGTTTGGAGACAGGCTAATGGCTGAAACAAACTTTTAATTGGACTCAAAACCGTCTCTTTTACAGTCTCTTTGTGCTGGAAGCTGGAGAAGCAGTGTGGCAATGTGTCTGCTTCACTCTCTTCTTCCCCTCACAGGGGCCTCTGGTTAAGTTTCACGTTGTGCAGCTGGCTGGGGGCTGTGGGGTGCCACGCAGGGCTGGGAGTACTCTCAGGGCAGAGGACCAGCCCTGTCAAAGTTGGTGGGATTGACCTGAGAGGGGGATCACCTGTAGGTTTCTGAGGGAGAAATAGGAAGAATGAGAACCAAAGTAGTTTCCTTCTCTCCCTCCTGATTTGCCTTGTTCAGCATCCAGGTGAGAGCTGGTCGGGAAAAATTCCCCAGGTGCAGCTTTCTGTGGAAACTGGCTAATGAGTGATTTCAGGAAGTGAGGAGAGACATCAGCCAGCTCTGTCTGGCCTGTCTGCTGTTCTAAGGCTTGACACATGAGACCTCTCTGCTCTGGTCCGTGTGGTGGGAAAGAGCCTCTCAGCTGTAAAACATGCTGGGAGACAGTGTGTGCATCCCTTGATGGTGAAACCAGTGCTGTTTAACATCTTTGTTGGAGATATGGACAGTGGGATTGAGCGCATCCTCAGCAGGTTTGCTGATGATAGATACCAAGCTGTGTGGTGTGGGTGACACCCTAGAGGGAAGGGAGGCCATCCAGAGGAACCTTGACAGGCTGGAGAGGTGGGCCAGTGCCAACCTCATGTGCAACCTGGTCTAGTGGTTCCCTGCTCATGGCAGGGGGGTTGGAACTTGATCATCTTTAAGGTTCCTTCCAACCTTAAAGATTCTGTGATTCTGTGTGAGTGGCACCTGTGCTTGGGTGTGGGTCAGCTCTGAGAACGGGCTGCCCTTGGTGAAATTATGTCTATCCACAGCTGCCACACAGCCTCTTGGTTTCTCTGCCCCTTCAGGACCATGCAAACCAGCTGCAGCTGGCTGGACGTTGTGGATCGAACTGATGGGCTCTCTGTGGTGTGCTGAGTCCTGAGCAGGAGTGCTGCTGTGCTGTATCACAGATGTGTGGAGTATGGGTGCTGAGGCAGAGTGGAGCAGGTCCCTGTGCAGAGCGTAGGGTATTTGGTAGGCCTGTGCTTTGGAGCTGCTGGGGAAGTCCCATGCATATCCTTGTTCCTGGTTGTTGTATCTTGGAATCTGGGAGTCTGCAGGTTTATTTCCGTTTTACAGATCTGTGTGGGGCTGTAGAGTCCCTGACACAAGAGGGCCTCCATCTATGACCAGAGGTTCTGGTCACTCTCTGTTATGCCAGTACAGCCTGTTTTGTCCAGAAGTGACTTCTCTGAACAGGATCTACAGGAGTACCCTGGTTATGTGTGTCCAATTTCTAAGTAAGTTGTACATTACCTGCAATTTCACAGCTTTGCCGTTAGAGAGGCAAAGTCCATGAGAGTCTCTTTATCACCATGTAAGCAAACACCTTTCTGTGTTAATCTTTGCTATTTTTTGCTTGCTGTTGCTGTTTCTTTTGTCAAGGAAGAATACAGAGTTCAAGCATAGGTCTTTGGCTACTTTGATTTAACAAAGAATTATTTGTCTTATGAATATGAATCTTTGTCAGTCTCTGGATCTTCCTCAGTCTTTGGGGTCCTGCTGCCCCCACACAGAAGCATCCCTCAGGCTTGGGCCCCATTCTTGCTTTGTGGCTGCACAGTTAAGGTCTCCTAAGAAAGACTCAAAGTGTGTTTAACAAAATAAGCCTCATGCATCAGTAGCTGGAGGTGTGGGTTGGGCAGGTAAGCTAACGTGGCTGCCAGCCTCTCCCCCCTCCCTGTGCTGCTCAGTCCAGGCTGCAGCTGCCCTGGCAGCCTGTGGTGTAGCCATGGCCATACCACTCCACTGCAGGCAGATGGATGGATAGATGGATGGACGGATGGACGGACGAGCCAGCTGCTCACAACCAGCAGCATTTTCTGGCCTGGGGTTAGTGCTGGGACAGGGAGCCCTCAGCAGCCTGCAGAGCCAGCTCTGTGCATCACTGGAGCCACGGGGTTATTTTCTGTTTCCACACGTTGAGTTTCTGGCACTTAGCTCTGCTGTCTCCCTCCGTGTGAAGCTGGGCCTGTGCATTTCCCCAGCTAACGCTGATGTGAGTTGCTGACAGTAGTCACAGGGTACTGCTAATGCTTACCCGCCTATTTAAAGGAAGATGTGCACAATTAGTATGTACAAATTTTTTTCATAATACTTCACAGATTATTTCCTGCTTTACTTACTAAATCAGGTTTTTCCATCTCCTGTGCTCCATCAGTGCCTCATATCAAATTAGGAATGAATCTCCACCCTCCTTTCATGGTGCTGTCATTGACTGAAAGGACAAAAAGGCCCTGTGAGTTTGCAGATCACCAAGTAAACAAGATGTTGGTTCACCTTCCAACTACAAGTTCTTACAATTTTTTTTTCTTTCTTTCTGTCTTTCCCTTTTTCTACTTGTGGTTTCTCTTAAGCCTCACAAGGTGTTTTTTGTCTGCAATAATCATACAAAACTTTGTATAAAAAGGGGAAGTGAATTCTCTGGGCAGCCAAGGGTGTTGTGAGCATTCATTAGACAATGTCAGAAATTAGTGTCTAATCTCATGTAAATAATTAGTTATATATTAAATTTGAGGGGATTACTCTTTAAGAGGAGGCTGCTGATTGAAGACAAAACAGACTGTGCATGTGCTGTCATCTTTATCCTGGCTCTGATTTTTGTTTCTTCTTTTTTTTTTTTTTAATTTTCTTTGTTCTTACTAGTGAGGATGTGAGGGAAAGAAGGAGACTAATGGGTCTTCATATATTCTGTGATGTATGGGGCTCTCGCAGTCAGAAATATTGAACTCATAAATGTACTCATTTGCCCTGAAATCACTAAGAGAGAGAGGCTAAATGCAGGACACCGCAATGTCACAGTCATGCAGAGTCACTTCTGTAACAGCAGAGCTACAGAAGGAAGATTGTATTTTCCTTTGATTTTACTGTAAATCTGTAAATGAGCTCTGTGAGGCTGCAGTTTTTGGCCGAAGAAGGTGAACATTTGCTGGATTTGCCTGTATGGAGACCTCTTTTGCATTCTGTTGTTTGAGATTCTGAACATTTTGGGGTGCTACTTTGAAGCCACCCTGCACATGCTGTCTGTTCTGTCTCAGGTCTCTACCACAGCACTGCAACATTAAGCTCTACCAGCTTGCCCTTCAAGCATGAAGGTGCAATGAAGTCAAATGTGCACATCCAAGGCAGATGGTTAGCCCAAGTCTTGCAGTGGTATTTGAGAGACATTCTCTTCATGTCATTTCAGCAGCACAGAAGGAAATGAAAGTGTTTCTTACAGTAAAGACTTTTTCTGTCCTCTTTCCTCTGCACTGCTGTGAATGTCTGAAGACTCACTTCACTGGTTTTCTCAGCGAAGGCTATTTCTGTCACATCTTAGATCAATTTAGGCCTGTCCTGTGCATGTATGATAAAAACAGGATGGTGCTACGGTAGCCTTGAACGAACTTGTCAATTTTGGATGCTGGGAGCAGGAGATGAGATGTAATTGTCATTGCTAAGAAGTCAGAGGGGCCAAACCATTGGCTGAAATGTGGCATTATCAAGCAGAGCCAGATGGTTTGAAAAATAGTGCAGACCACAACACAAGGGCTTTAACTGTTTCTCAGAAAGGCATGTCCAAGTGTAATTCTGCCGTGTGGAGCTTCCTTAACAGGCTGTGTCAATTCTGTTTTCAGAGAAGCAGCACGAAGGCATAAGATTCCCAGCTGCATCCTGAATTGCTCTCACAGTTATTCCCCCAACACATCTGCTAAATGCATCTGAAAACATCCAGATGTTGGCTTTAATGCTATGGTGGTTCACTTCCTCCAATGAGTGAGACTGTTTCTGCTGCACTGCTCATGTCATCCCCCCTGGCACTCGGTGCAAAATGCCAGCTTTAAGCCACCTCAATGAGTGAGAACAAAGAATCTGGCACAGTGTGGCCCTAAAGACCACCACCTCACAGTGGTTCTTCCTGACTGGCTTTTCATTATTGTTCCTGCACTCCAAGCAGAGCCAAGGTGGCTTTTGGGCTCTGTTCGGTCTAGTTGAGCAACACAACTTAACTTCCTACAACCTTTATTCGTTGCCTGGGGCAGCTGTACAGAGCCCTTTCCTGCATGGAAGGTACCATTCAGTCAATAGAAGAGCCCAGCAAAGTTCACGCTGGCAGCACAGTCTTTGTGTACAAAGAGGAAGCCTTCTCCCACACCTCCTGCATCTGAGACTCTTTGTGAGTGGTCAATGTTTATATTCCAGAAAATCAGCTGGTCTGCATGTGCACTGCTTTACCTGACTGGACTGATTTATCTTTCCTGGATGAGGATGCTGTACTTTGATAAACTGGAAAAGGATTACAGAAGTAGGTGTTTCTCCTTTACCCCATCTTGGCATTAGCATCTTCCTATATGGGGTGGGCTGACCAGGAGGGGGTTTTTTTTTGTCTCTTCTCACCTCGCAGCCCTATTCTTACACTTACAGCCGGCTCCAAGGTGCGGAGCACATTGTGGCTCGTGTTGGTTCAGCCCGAGTTCAGTCACCCAAAACCTTGCAGGTCTCTTTTGAAACATTATTCAAGCTGTCCACTATGGAGTTTCTTTTCTTTTTTTATTTCTTTCTTCTTTTTTTTTTTTTTCCACTCTTGCTTCTGACATCATTTCCTGAACGCTATATGCGCTGAGCTCTGTAGCCAGATCGTCTTCTCAGCATATGATGCAAGGAGCTGTTTAAAATGGATTTCAGCTTTCCTTTTACTCTGCAGTGCTTGCTGGTGATAATAACTGTTACTCATGGTAAGTGGGATTTTTCTTTCTGAAGTTGGCACAGATTTGCCTAGATGAGCAGACACCTTAATTTTGCTCCAAGACCTTGTAAGGTTTGGGGAGATATCAAACAGTGTAACTGCTAATGCATGAAAGAGGCAGTCAGACCAAAGTAAGACAGATTGTTTTATTAGTAAATGAATGATAACCAACAATATAGCACTTTCTCAGTGTATTAGGTCTGTAAAAGCATTTCAGTGGAGAATATAAGGTCGTTGTACGGAGAACGCTGGCTGGAGGGGCTGGAGAGCAAAGTGGTCCTACTCTTAACGCTCTGTGTGACCTTGGGTTTGTCCCCAAGCTGCTGTTGCCCTGCCATTTACCCATCACAGATTTGTGTACGGCAGTTTAAAAATGTGCAAGGAGACTGTGAGACTTGTTCAAGTTTAAACTTCAACCTTATTCTGTGGGCAAAAGCAGCTGTTCAGGCAGCTGTTGGTTTTGCTACCCTCTGTGTAAGATCTATGGCATTGGTTCCCTGAGGACCTTTTTTTTTGCAGATTCTCATCTCTGAGGGGGGGTAGTAGATGATGAAGTAAAATTTGGGGAGACAAAAGACTGGCTGCTCAGCCTTTTGTCTCGCTGTGCACATGGTGTGCACACCAGTGCCATGTTATCAGGAGGGAAGCTGGCCTTTGTAGAAGGCTTCCCACTCCTCTGATTTTCAATTACTGGTGACCCCAGCCTGTCCCTAAGGGTGGGTCTGTCCCTCTCGCATCTCACCTGGGCGTTTTCCTTTTCTGGGAAGCAGCTGAGAAGGGAGGGGTGGATGCAGCAAAATCACTGTCCATGCTCTGTGCCTCTCCTTTCAGGCTCTGTCACCTGGACTGGTGTGCTCAGCGGCAGCTCAGCAGTCTTTTCGGTGGGGATTCAAAGCCTGCAGAACCTCTCCAGAATGAGCAAGCGGGACGCCAGGTGCCTGACAGTTGTCTTAAATGATACTTTGTTGGCTGAATGTGGCACATCTGCCAGGAGATGCCTGAATTTGCAGAATGGCTCCCTAGTACTGAGGAGCGTGGAGAAAGAGGATGAAGGAAAATATGAGTTTGTTTTTCACAACACCACCAGATTTTTTACACTGGAAGTATTTGGTAAGTGGCCTTCTAAGTAACAAATAGCTTTTGAATTTGCGAGCCTGACTGGAAGCATTTTTCTTTAATTTCTTCCTCGGAGACTGCTTGAGCTTGCAGGACCTGTAGGTGCCTCTGGAACAGCTTTGTAAGCACCTTAGGGAGAAGTAATGTGAGTGTAAACTAAGGCATGATTTTTGCACCTGTGTTGTGAGTCTCTCCTGTCTGTTGAGCCTTCCTTGGAGTAGCCAGCTGAGCTTTGTGCTATGTTTACCTGGTGTAAGAGACAGCAGCACTAAGTATTTGTTGAACTACAGTATGTAAACATGTAGTTGGATATGTCAGTGTAATTCCAGAGTAATTTCCTTATAACTCTCCCAAAGGTCTCACTGACCAACAGCATTTTGCTGCTTGTGGACATGCATCCACAAACATGTTAACCCTACCTGACTTAGCTCAGGAAACTAAACTGGACTTCTGTGCAGGTCTGGGTTGAAACATGTTCAGTTTTTCCCCTCCTTCATGCAGCTGAGGAAAAGTACTAAAGGAATCCAGATGTGACTTTCTGATTCTTAGCTGCCCGTGAGCAGCTTGGAGGTGAGCATCTTCTGGGTCTGTTCAGGGAAGAGCAATAGGTACCTTACTGTGTCAGTCTCCCTGCTGTCCTTCTTATGCCTTTAGAACTGTGGCTTCCCTTTGTGCCTGCTCATCCATCTGTGGGGTGAGAAGACAGAAACCAAGTTGCTTCCACACAGGATCCAGCTTATTACTTGGGTTCATATGGAGAAGGCTTAAATGGGTTTGCCCCGCTCCTGAACAGTGCTCAAGAAAGCCAGTGACCACTCCTCTGGTTTTCATCTCCACCATTCCTTTTGCAGACCTTTCACTTACACAAGCTTCTAAGAGAAACTGAAGCCTATGAAACTGTAATTAAAATGTCTGAGCAAACTCAGTGAAGTGTCTCTCAGTGAAGACAAATGAATCCTTATGCCATTTGGGGGCAAACAGGCGGAACTACTGTGAAGAGTAGGTCAAAGATGTGACTCCTTGGCACAAAGATCAAGGGCTTACACTGGAAGTAGGCAAAGACTGCAGAAATATCCTGGGCTTAAACTCCATTTCAGAGGAATTGGTTTGGGAACTTTTGTTTCCTTCTCATGTTCTGTTGCCACACAAGATTTAGAGAAACAGTGTCACAGCAAAGATATTCCTGGAGGCAGTGAATTTGAGCTGAAGATGATATTCTATTAGAAGACAGTGATTTCTGAACTTATTAACCTGGATGTTTACATAGATGTTCTCAACATGACTCTCACCATCACAAAACCAAAACCATACCACTTTTCTGGCCTGTATTTGCAAAGTGGCAAATGTGGGAACTAGGTTGACTCCTTGTGGTAGGCTGAAAGAGAGAAATTCAGGAAAATGTAAAGTGATCAATGATTCATTCTTTTGTTTTAAATTGTCCTCTTCTGGGTCAGCCTACCTAGCTTCAGGTGTCTGATGTTGGTACCTATGGTGGGCATGATTTTTACTAGTTTCTCTCCAAAATTGAAGAGGAGGCAGAATGGCAGCAAAAGTACAAACCTCTGCTGGAGAAGAGGGCTGAGTCTCCTCAGAAGCTACAGATACCTGCTGATTACAGAGGAAGCCTCTGGCCAGCAGGTGCTTTGGGTGTTTCCACCATCCCCTCAGACCAGGGGTTTTTATTTTTTTCTTTTTCAATTTCAACAAGGAAAATGAAGAGATGCCAGATTGTTGTGACATCTCCGAAACAGGGTCCAAGTGTCACTGCTAGGCTTGGATGGGCACTGCCAAGCATCTGAGGGCTGGGGGAAGACATTGCAGAGTCTGGATATGTATTTCTGTGCTCTCTGGCTACCAGCAAATGCAGTGGTAGTGAGACTTGAGCAACCTGATCTAGCAGGTGGTGTTCCTGCCCATGCAGGGGGGTTGGAACTAGATGATCTTTAAGGTCCCTTCCAAGCCAAACCATTCTGTGATTCTATGACTGCTGGTAAGGGAAGCCTTGTCCAGCTCACATTCACTGCTGACTCCACTCCTCACCTCTCTCTTTCCTCTCTGCTCCTGTTGCCTTGTGGTTGGTGTGACCAGAGCCAGCCATCAGCATCCAGTGCTTCCCTAACGGGACTGGAGAATTGTCCTGCAACGTGACCAGCAACGAGAGCACCAGCTTTCGGTGGCTGCTGAACGGCACCGCACTGAGTGTCCCTGAGGCTTGTGTGAAGGATGGTGGGAAGAAGGTTCACCTGGACAAAACCGTGCCCGGGGAATTTGTATGTGAAGTTTACCACGGGAACACCGTCACAAGGACCAGGCCCGTTGCGCTGTCTTGCAACTATGGTGAGTAGTGGCAACTCCAGAGAATCTCCCTTTTGGCCTCTTGCAGCCAAAAGGAAAGGAGTTGTTGCTGTCTGCATAATACTGAACTCTTCTGTCCTCTGCCAGCTGCCTGCCAGACTCAACATTTCCTCTCTTTAGAAAGTGTCCCTTTGACTTCCTTCTCCCTCCTGTGTGTCTTGGACTGACACAGCCTACAACCCCAGAAAGGACTGACATTTGTTTAGAGGGTCCTTCTGCCCAGCTCTGCAGCAAAGATGGATTTCTTTCTGTCTGTTTTCTGATTTCCCACTGATGGAGACCTTGCACCCTCCTGTGCACCGATTCTCTGTGCTGGGTTATAAACATGAGCTCCTTCCTACTCTGCCATCAGCCCCACACCACCAGAGGTGGGGTAAAGAGATAAATAATTTACTTAAGAAATGCAGGGGCGTTGTCTTCCATGCCCCTGCTCGGATATGTAGCTCTGTGAGAAGGCTGTGACTTTATCCATTCGCAGGCTGTCTGGGAATGCTGAGTATTCTGCTTGAATGAGGCCATTGTTTAATGAGAGAAAGTCTGCATCCTAGGACCAATCAAAACTGCCAGAACTTCATGGTGCAAATTATTGGTCTGTGTTTTAAACTCACATTTATTTAAAAAACCCCAATGACATAAAAAAATAAATAAATATTGATTAGATAACCTTGCATGTGATTTCACTTGCATCTTCAGTAGTGAAGGTTTTCCTCTTCTCTGGCAGCAAAGATGGTAATCAAAACTACATCAGGGTGGCATAATTTAACCATAAGATTTTTTACTAATTTAGCTGTATTTGATTGAATTACCTTTGCTACAAGGCGTATTTTACCGTGCAATATCACCTAGCATTTTAGAAACTGTCTAAGACACTGCAACTCCACAGCAGGTACTGTCTTTTCTTTTACACGCAGTTGGTGTGAAAGCAAAATTACTGACATGAACCCTTGATCACGTGTGCTTGGCATTCAACAGAAACACTGTGGATTGTTAATGCCTGATGGCGTTGGCGCCACTGGCCAATCTGTACAAGTTTGGCATTTCTGACTGAGGAGCAGAGATCTTAATTTTGCCCAGTTAAACTGGTCAGAGGTTGTTCAGAGCAGTCAGACCCGAGTTGGCTGAGGCACTGGGGAGTGAGGATGTGAACATCCATGTGCTGTTCAGTCAAGTCCTGTGATAAATCAGGCGAGTGCTGACACTTGCCATTGTTTATTCTGGGTGGCTGCCCAGTCCCCTGGGTGCAATATCAGTTCCCCATTTTGTCTTGAAAAGCCCACAGGGGAATCTAGTGATACATCTGTCAGGGTGGATATGTGCGTGAAGATGCATTTGGAAGGGTCTGAGAGTAAGAAAGTAGCAGCAATTCTACCTTTTAGTCAGTTAATGTAACGAATTTTGTAAAAAGTTAATTAAAATAGTTCTGAATTGTACCAAAAGGAACTGAAGAGAGAAATGAGTTCAATGAATAGTTTTTGTGGATTATTATTTGCTCCAGGTAAAGGGCTGATTATATTTTTTCCACCAGAGGTGTAAGATCTATGTAAAAGTATCTATTTGGGCAACCTGTTGGCTGATTTTATTTTGAATAATTGTTAACATAAACAGTTTGGTAGAAATACTGTAAACTCCCCAGACACCAGAGGGCTCTGATCACACAGGATATAAAGCAGAGGATTCAGAAGTTAACAAGCCAAGATATATAAAAGGCTTTTCTGGATTCAATACTTGCTTTATTATTTGTTTCTTAACAATTTTTAACACAAACTTTTGTAATAAAAAAACCTTTTTAACAAATACCAAACTTTTAGGAAAAAAAAATTCAGGAAAAAGTATTTCCAACATTTATTTATGCCTTTGACAATATTCCCGAAGCTTTTACCAAAAAGGAAATAAAATTATTCAGGAAATGACTTCTCATTTGCTGAAAGTTTGATTTTGAGTATGGATTTTTTGAACTTGGTAACTGTTTCAAAAGAGACTGGGACAAAGACTCTGAAAATACTTGGGGTATGTGTGATTTCATGCACAGGAGCACCTGTCTACAGTTGTTTATACTGTTCTGGTGAGTATGTGGACTACGACAGTGTCTAGTATGTCCTGAAACATTTGCAGCACTGTCCAGCATCTGGGAATACACACCAATTTGTGTATTTGGGGGTCTGAAAAACAAGCTCCAAATGAGCCTTTTGGTTTCCCCAGGGTGGTGTTATGCAGATGTGTGCAAAGAAGCCAGTGATTCAACAAGGGATGGCACAGGTCTACCTAAGGAGCCGAGAGGAATTTGTATTATAGCTGTAGCTGAGCTGTACGGTTTGGGGTTTTTTCCTATGGGAAGAAGAGTTTTCATCCTGGCTCTATTCCGGGCTGGGGAAAAAAAATTGCTTTAGTGGAGTGAGTGTGGACGTGTCTCCTTTTTGCAAGTCTGTGGTGCCCCCTGCCAGCTTCCCTGCTCGGCAGCAAGTCAGACCCATCAAAGCAAACCTAAGCAAGGGACTCTGCACTGGGTAATGATTGCCACCGACTTGTGTGTGGCCTTCTGCTCAGCCATCTGTAGCTGTCACCTCCTGCTAAGCGTTTTGCATGATCTCGGTTGGGGAGAGGAATAAAGAGAAATCCTTCCCCAAGCAGCAGTGACACTGGTGTCTCTGACCCTGGCTGCTGGAGTCTCTGGTGCCTGAGGAAGTGAAGGCTCTGATCAGACTTCATCGAGGCTGGTGTAGTTGTTATATGGCTGTTCCAAGGGAGTTCT